TGTTGTATTTGGAGGGGGCGGGTTACATGGGTTAGAAGTAGCAACGACAAGAATCAAGAATGGCATCGTGTTCAACAAATTTAACATCCGATAAAGAACAGGTGACAGACGATACATGTGCATAGACTCAGTGTCATCTTACATCATCGTTGCCATGAGTTATAAATGCCAGAGCATATGCTGGAGTTACATGGCATCTACAATATTATAGCGAAAGACCTGCATTTATCCGGGGGCACCTGCCTGGGGCACCCACCTCCCTACCCACCCTGTCCCCTTGCACTGCACATGACGAACTTAGTAAGTATATCACATTATGTTACACTGCTGAAGATGGGAGAGACATGCATAAATTATTGTCATTGTCAATTAATTGTTAATTGACGTTCATAGTAGGTCATTCTTTTCTCTCTTTGACCTCAGATTGTGCCTTGCACTAGTGACTGATTGATGCTCTATTGCCATTTTCCTTGTCAGCAGTATCTGCTCTTCCCTTTCTCTTGTCTGTGATAGGCTTGATTGTAGAGGAACTTCTGGTCTAGTCTATTAACTGTATAACTGTCACTTTCCGTGTTCACAGTACTGTATATTCCAGCAATCTTATTGATGTTTAGGGATGGGTATCGGCAGAAATTTCGTATCGTGATATATCACAATTTTCCAAAAAAAAAAAATATCACGATAAATCATGATATTTTTACATACAATTTTTACTACAATTTCATATGAATTTCCATAATATTTCCTAAAAATATGCTATAAAAACATAACTTTACTGTTTAAATATTTATTTATTTAATATAAAGAATGTTTGGATGCAGTTGTTTAACTGTTTTCAACATTTTTTACACTTCCTGTAATTGTCATTCAATAGATTGAACAAACAAATGAATATTTATAGTTATGTACCAAATACCGGTATTTTAGTCTTCGTATCACGATACGTATCACGCAATAAAAAATCGTGATATACCGGTATACCGATAAAATCGCGCATCCCTATTGATGTTCCAGGTAAGTTGTTCTGTAGATGTATCAAAGAGTAAAGACAACCCAAGACCATTGTTTGGGAAATCTCAATGTTCTTTGGCATGTTGCAGGTGGTAGGACTTGTTGGCATTGTGTCAGTTGATCAGCACTCGGCAACTTCATGGCATTGCTGGCTTCTATGCTTATAGTTTCATTTTAAGGATTTCTGTTACAATACATGTATGTCATTTTCAATCATTTGCAGGACCTGGATTTTATAAAAGTCATGCAGATTTCTACTTTATTCCACCAGTTGGAAACAAATCCTATATCACAAACGAGGGAGTCTGTCACACACAGTAAACAACGACCAGTAAAACAATACAGATCGAAAAGTGAATTCTAAGACTTTAGGTAAGAAATCCGAGTTATCCAAGACACGCTATAGTTACTATATTGACAGAATACTTTTTTGTATAGTTTGCTACCATATTTCTTTATGCTTATGTGTATATGAGAATACTTTCTGTTTACAATGTTTTCCTTACTGTCAATACAGGTATCCACAATATTGTATCAATATCAAATCAATGGTTGTTCAATGAATTATAGTTACCACCCTCAAAATTTTGTTTATTCAAAATGTGAGTTACTTGAATACTATCATTTTGTGAAGTTTTCCCTGTAGTGTAGATATCTTTGATATTGATGATATATTATATTTATATTGCTTCGATATCGATTCATGTTTGCTCAACCCGGCTTAGGTTGGTACCATTCTTGAAGTTGTCATTGTGTATGTGTGTCTATATTTAAATACTTTAAATTTACAATGTTGTACTTGCCATCGATATCGTCGATATCAGTAATATCATATCAATATCAAAACATTTTTGTCATCACTCTTGTGGCTGTATTTCTTTATGCAATACTTTATGAGAGTATGTACGTCCTGATTACTAAGTTTGCCCTACTGTCGATATCAACGATATATTGATATCAAACCATGATTGTTCAAACCATGACATTTTTAACCAATGTTCACTCTTACCCAAAACCTTACCCTATCCCTAACCTCTGACAATAACAATTAACCCTTAACCTCTATTTGTCTTCCTTATTAATCTAGACATTCATAATTATCAATAATAGATTAATTAATCAATATCAACATCATTTGTGGCCTTCTTAAATTATGATATACACGTGTACCTCAACTTGAGAATAATTTGTACAGATCTGGATCAATATCCATACGTTATCAGGATATCGTGGATATCCATATAGCACTAAGTCTTATACTGCATCCAGTATTTCCAATTTCATAGTACTGAGGATTAATATCATTACAATATCATCATAATATTGTCGATATCATAGATATGGACAATATCATCATGATATTGTCAATATTGTAGATATCAACATCGAAATCGTTCTTGGACATGTAATTTGAGAAATCCCTCATCTTCTGTAGGTCTTGGTCTAACTTGGTAAACATTTTTTTGACAATCAAAGCACATCTTGACTTTAATTACATGTAGATCATTGATGAATACTCTTTGTAGCGACTTTCTTCTGTCTTAGTATGATACATTGCAATGGTGTGGAACATTGCATTCCTATAAACTGCTCGGTTGCTGGCACAGAACTTTGCCCAAGTTTTATGTGGTCAGCTAGATGCTTTACTTTCCATAGAGGATGTAGATCTTGCATTGCTTTGTCCACTTCTTTGACATTTTTGTCATCATTGTCTCTAGTAACATACCAGACTAATGTAGGGACAGCTGTGTGCCAGTGTCCTTCTCCATCTCATATCTGACAATGCAGGTCAAAGTTGCCCGTGGTAGATTAGAGGTACACTCAGGATGACCACCTGGACAATCCACTTCCATTCTCTTGCCCCTTAGCCATGCACCTGTCCAGCAGTTTGTTTTGCAGAGCACAGGCAAGTATATGTACTACATGTATATGTATTTTCTATCAGTGTTGGTTTTAACAGGCAAGGCAAAGGCTTCATTATTACCTAACCTACTATATAAATTGTAATTAGGCATTTTGAACTGTTTCCTGATTCATTTTAATGTTTTTGCACATCATGAAACAGTCAAAACTGTTTACCTGGTCACAAAATGAATTGTTATACCCCTACTAAACAGTCCCTGTATAATTTCTTACTTTAAAAAGTCCAACAGTTTTTCCCCGACTGTTGGTCCAGGAACTGATAAAATAGACTGTTAAAAAAGACTGTAGTCTGCTGAAGTCAAATGGCGCTAAATTGAGTTATCTTTTCCTAATTCGGCAAACCTCGGCTGATTCGGGTAACTGTGAGTTAAATGTTATCATCCGAGGAGTGCCGAGTAGTTTAAACCTGTTGTTAAGATAAACATAAATTGCAGATGTTCGTTTTGCTGCGGCCAAAGAGGATGAAATCCAGAAATCTGAAAATATCTGGAGACTCTGGACTTATCACTACATCTTCTTCGGGACAGTTTTATTTTCTGTTAAGTTATGAATTTGATTTAGTAGGAGTGTAACAAAACAATTGTTGACAGGAGTCTCGGGAAACAGTCGATCTGTTGGACCGGAGTGCAAGCTGTTGCCTGCGGCCTTGGGCAACAGCTTGCACTCTGGTCCAACAGATTGACTGTCTGTTTCCCTCTACCCCAGTCAACAACTGTATACTGTTGCATGGCTGAACTAATCCATTATGACGTCATGATTAATTTCCCGTACTTTACAGCTATAATATTGAATTATGTATAAATTGAAGCATTTTCATGGCAATAAATTTGAGATTATGATTGGAAGAGTAATCCTGATACCCATATAAATAGAGATTCAATTTAACATCATTTGGAAGAAGAGGACAAGAACACCTTTTCTGAGGGTAATTTTTGGAAAAATGTAGGCCCCTTTCACTCTCTGTAGATCCTTGCCTTTTAAAACGTTCGACTCAGCGTGCTATATTTAAACCTTCAAGTCATCTTATGTTTTTTATTAAACAATACATGTATACATCAATATTTATTAGGGCATGATAACACTAAGAAATAATGCATACTTTTGTCGATGTGTCTTTATTATCATTACTTTAAGAAATTATATAGTAGGTTAGGTAATAAAACACTTATTTCATGACAACTCAGGAAACAGTCAGACTGTTGTCCCTCCATAATGGGGAAGACCTGGGAAACTGTTGCCCTTGGCCTTCGTCCTCGGGCAACAGTTTCCCAGGTCTTCCCCATTACCTCGGGACAACAGTTTGACTGTTCCCCTTGTAGTCATGAAATAAGTGTATACTAGCATTCTGTTAAGGGGTATTGCAATTAATCATGATTACTGTTATAAAGGTCATCTGTTGAGATTTCATGACATCTTCTGGTTGGCTTCGGGTCTTGTTGATCTTTTACATTTTCTGTATCTTTTGATGCATATCTTATTTGTTTAGGTTTGTAAAAAAAATATTTTTGCTTATTTTGAACAGGAGCTTCTGGAGAGAGGCCTTAGTGTGAGGCAGAATGTCCAGGCAGCTCAGGAATATGCTAGGGCCATGTTTGATGCTGATGTTTTGCAGCAAAGACCGCCTTGATGGATTTCTTGGAATAAGGCAAACTCAGGAGAATTGGACTGACAATTAACACTGGCCAGCGAGTATTTTCCAGAAATTCCTACTTTTGTTGAGTGCAGCACAGTGCATGATGTTAGATTCAGAACTGGTATTTACCGGTGAAGTTGTATTGTTAGAATAATTACCTCCATCATCCTCTCTGTGTTCACTATATGTATTTTATATATGACAATTTTTAAAGAATTTCACCATAATTGGGGGTAATTTTTCAAAAAAAATCTTAAGAGTATTTATCTATATTCTTGATCAAAGTTGTTATCAGAATTAAGTAGAGGGGATATTTATACAATAAATAAAAATTGATAAGAAAAATTTACTGCAGCATATGTGATATGTGGGCATTTCAAAATTGTCCATTGTGTGTCTGATGCTCATTTCATCCTCTATTATCAGGAGATCCTACACATCACTTCAAAGGGCCATAACTCTGCTGTTCAGATGACAAATGCAATGAGATTTCACAATGATGTGTCATATAATGGCTGTAGAAGATTTTGTACCAAGTTTTATGAAAATCAATCCAGGTCAGAGTCTTTATCAGGTAACAGTTTACTAATTTTACCCCATTTTCATTGATCACCCATGGCCAAGTAGTGCCAGTTTAAAAATAGGGGTTTTGACTTTTTTTCATAAAAATTCTTGTGGATATATATGGTATTGGAATGAGGTTATTTGATGGAAGAGATGGAAAAGAGAGGGTCTAAAAAAAAACTAAGAAGTCTAAAATAATGGGAATTCTGCTTTAAGGTGCAAAGTAGGAAGGGTGTAAAGAGGCCTTTATTTACCTGCTTCTTTAAGGAAAATGGAAATATGCAGGGTACTTGCAGGGTAGGGGATACTTGTGGAGTCATTGCAAGGCTTGTAGACTACGGATATTTCCGAGATTCAGAAATATTTTTAGACTTGAATTGTTCGAGCACTTTGCCATATTTCAGATGAGTGTCCATGGTGGAATTTTTTAATTATATTGAAATGCCACCACTTGATGATGGGGGGCTGCAAATTTAGACCAGTACTGGGCACTTATGGTCTTTGAGCAGTGAGGGATCTTTTTCATGCCAGTACCTACTGCGACATATGACCCTGGTTTTTATGGTCTTCTCATCTGGAGGACTGGTCTGCACATATCATATTGGGATTTGAACCCGCGACATAAGGATTTACTCCACAACTCTGGATCAAATGCTCTAATGACTGCACCACGTGGGCGTCCTGAACAGAAGTACAGAAACGATACTGTATCATATTCTACATACATGTAAATACATGTAAAACCTTCCAATTTCATAGCATTTTCATTCCCTCTGTCCATCAGATAAATGCATATATAATTTATTTCCTCTAATATTTTTGTAAATTTTCACAAAGTTAAATTGATGTTTGTTATAACAATTTGGCATTGCCCTAATGTCAGTACCATAACAGCCTATGATCATGATCAAACACCATCAATTTTTTATGCTTTTACAGAGAGAAAGAAGCAATTACCCATCGAAACCTGTATCAGTGGTACTGGAAACAACTGGATCTAGTGACAATGTGAGTACATTATTATGCACTGTATAATTAAGAAATAAACAACAATATTAAAAAGTTCTCTGGGAAATGAACTTGGTTGGTCATGTGATCAAATCCTGTGAAGCCCAAAGGGCTTCTCAGAAGATTTGATCACGTATCAACCAAGTTCATTTCCCAGTGAACTTTTTAACATTGTTGTTTATTACTTTTATTTACATTTGAGATGAATATTCTGAATAGAACTGCATTTATTACACGAACGGCCCGCCGTATTGCTATGATGTGACGCGCAATGACCTAGAAGCTGTTTGGTCTTGAGAGTTCGCCTCGCTCCAACATTTGAATACTTACATTGATGTTCAGCTGTCCAGTTCAGGAAATATCTGTTCATAATGAAAAAACAATGATCTCTACTGAGAATAATCTTACTATTATTGTATGAGTTCTTTATATATGAAGTCAAAAGCGGTGGTATCATCTTCAGTTTACATACCTTCAAAGGAATTTCGTGTTAAAAAGGTAAGGGTGATTTTAGGCTAATTAAAGGCATTCTTCACACCGCAGAGAGATCTAATGATCATTTGTTGAACGAAAAAAAATATATGTTTCAATAATTATATCTTTTTCATTGCTTTAATGGCTTAGAAGTTCCGAAACCAGTGTCACCGTAACCAGCTGGTAACATAAATATGTAGACAAGATATCATCTCGCTGTGTGATTCGGTCAGGCCGTGACCTCTGACCCTCTAATAAGTTCATACAGAATTGAACATATTTTCTCTTCAATAGGTTCATATAAAAAAAATATTTGCAAATGTAAATGATAATTATTGTTTTTCCTTTGCATTTTTAAGCTCACCTGAGCTGAAAGCTCATGTGAGCATTTCTGATAATATTTTGGCAAATGTCCTTCTGTCTGTAGATCTGTAAACTTTTTGACTCGATCCTTTTCAAGAACCACTAGACTCTTCCATTGGGACATTCTGACATTATAGTGGACTTGACATCGAAAGTATAGGCCTTTTGTAAATTGTTTTGTTTCGAGGTTGAATGGCAGAATTTAATTATGGCAAGTCATCAGAAAAATTATGTAAATATAAGATTTGAATTCTTTGAAGTTCATGAGGTTAAACTACAATGCTTCATGCATGCATATTTGTTATGAAATGCTAATGCCAGCATAAAACGTCACAGTTCATGTCCTGATGAATTTTCAAATTAAAATAAAACTCATTTCTTAAATGAACTCATGTATCCTAGTGTGCCAATAATAAACAAAATGCAAGAGGTCTGAAATATACAGGGTGATCCAAAATATCTGATACTACTTTGATCCTCAAAAAAATTATCATCAATTATAGTAATATTTCATTTATACATCATTTTAAACTGCTGCAGCTATCATTTTCATCGACAAGTAATACTAGAAAACACTGATGTCACTACATGTGATATTAGGCACTGTAGGGCATCATAAAACTGATACTATTTTTATCATGTAGTAAAATGTATACCAAAGGGTTGAAGTTCTCCATTAAAACTCACTGGACTCTATCTGTGGGGGGTATCTAAAGAACAAAGCCAACTTTCCATGAGAATTTCAAGTTTGTAATACTCGGGGAAATGTGAGAAGTTACTCCAGACATGTGCAGTGATGTGATCACAAACTTTGAAGGAGACTTCACTTTATCTCATGCTTGCTTAAAAGGGACTTCATGTATTAAGTGTGCTTAGATAACTGCATTATTTCATAAATTGTGGGTTTAAAAAATATATAAATTGTACATGACATATGCTATAGAAAATATCAAAGCAGGTATTAAATTTTGAAAATTTTATTAAATTTTATTATACATGTATGCCATGTGGAAGTTTTATCAACCTTCAAAATGGTATCAGATATTTTGGATCACCTTGTATTTCATGAGAAATCTACATTCCAAAGTCTTGCAGATTCAAGCTCGGTGAAGGGTGGGGCTACATGTAGATATGGGAGCAGATTTCACAGTAAGGCTATGTAAGTCATATTGGTATTCAGCATATATACCAGTAATTGTTATGAGTGGATTAAAGTATGCTTATGTACATGTATTAAAGTAACAGGTGACATTCATTTTGACTATGATATTTCTGATTTCAGGAGTAGTCTCCCCTGTTAAAGATCAACAATGGTGGATATACAATGCGGGATGCTGTGTAGTACATACTACGTACATCATTAACAGAGTTTTGACACCTGTATACCTGTATTTCTACCAATCACCTCTGTAACCTTTGTTGTAATCGTCAGACAGGTAAGAAAAACAAGATAATTAATGAAAATAATTTCTAAAAATAATTAAGATAAATACTGAAAAAAAACATATTTACATGTACAGACTCACCCATGTAAGAAAATGTCACATTTTACACACACAATTATACGTCATTTACATATCCTGGCCATTGATGTAGTAAAACATAGCAATTTTATTTAAATATGTAACAATTCACAGAATAGATGCTATATATTTATAAATGCTTTCATACATTTAAATTACATACACAGCTTTTTTTAACACAATTTCCTTTTTAGCTCACGTGACCTTTCTGATCACCCATTGTCCGTCTGTCTGTCCGTCCGTCCAGCTGTAAACTTTTCACATTTTCAACTTCTTCTCAAGAATCACAGGGCCAATTTTAACCAAACTTGGTACAGAGCATCCTTAGGTAAAGGGGAGTTTTAATTGTTCAAAGGAAGGGCCAAGCCCCCTTCAAAGGGGAGATAATCAAGAAAAGACAAAAATTGGGAAGGGTCATTAAAAAATCTTCTTCTCAAGAACCACTGGGCCAAAAAAGCTGAAACTTATGTGGAAGCATCCTAGGGTAGTGTAGATTCTAAATTGTTCAAATCATGACCCCCGGGGTAGGGCGGGGCCACAAAAGGGAATCCAAATTTTTCATTGAAATATGTAGAAAAAATCTTTTAATATCTTCTTCTCAAGAACCACTGGGCTAGAAAAGCTGAAACTTATGTGGAAGCATTCTGGGGTAGTGTAGATTCTAAATTGTTGAAATCATGACCCCCGGGGTAGGGCGGGCCACAACAGGGAATCAGTTTTGCATTGAAATATGTAGAAAAAATCTTTAAAAATCTTTTTCTCAAGAACCACTGAGCCAGAAAGGCTGAAACTTAAGTGGCAGCATCCTGGGTAGATACTAAATTGTTCGAATCATGGCCCCTGGTTAAGGTTGGGACCACGATATGTATTACAAGGGGGGAAATCAGGTGAAAAACAGCAAGGCCAAAGTTACTCAGGTGAGCGTTGTGGCCCATGGGCCTTTTGTTAATTTTGGATATGTCAGTGGTTTACTGTAAGTGTCTATATTTTAACAGTTTTTGTTTCATTTTAAAGTCATTTTGCCTATTTTGTTGTTGTTTTAGATGATGGACCACTCTACATTCTTTTATAACAGATTCCCCTACAGATTCACAAAGTTCCAATGTTGAATTTCCATGACCCCTATTCAGTGAGTGCACAACTTTATGTATTCTACTTTTAAAATTTCCACTACTTGTAATATATTTTGGATTTGATTATGAATATGCCCTATTCACAGATTCAGCTTTTGTGTACAAGTATGATACTTAATTCTATTAACTTGAAGATTATTTAGTCCTAAAGTCAAATTTATACAGTCTTTTAACAAACATTTGTCTTCCTCAGTCATGTTTAATTCAAAGTCACTAGGCACCACTGAAGATTTCCACTTATTGCTTTTCAGTCCATGACAGAAAAAGGAATAAAGTTGACAGGACTTTCATCACTGCCCTTTAACTGGTAGCAGTTTACGTTTAGACAGCAGAAGACATAGCCAGTTTCATCAAAGGTAAGTCTTCTTCAGGGTAGTTTGTGTAGCAGTTCTCATGCTCTGTCCTTCACTGAAGCTTCAGGTCCAAGCAAATCTTCTCTTCATGGATTCTCTTAATATGGCATTGGTTCTTCTCAGAAACATGTGACTGCTGAATGGAACCTTAGCAGTCTGTTTTCTTTGAGGTTCTTTAAGGTTTTCAATGACATGTCCTTGTTTTTCAGATGCATCAGATGCCTTGGCACTATCTCCATCACTGGTGAAATGGGAAATGACTAGTAGACCATCATCACTTAATATTTTTAACTCACCAATGCATAATTTGAGGCCAATCTCTTCTCATCTCCGATGGTGGTCTCCAGAGGAATGGTTGCAGTGCAGTCTTCGTGTCCTGGGCCTTTCCTTCTCAGGTGTGTGCCTTTCTTGCATAGTTTATTCCCACAGAACACTGCCTCAACATTTTTCCTCTGAGTAACATTTTCACTTACAGTATAAGTCACTTGGGTGGCAGCTAGGAATTGGTTTTTCCAGTGGCACTGAAGGTGGCATTATTATACCAAACATCTCCTTCCCCTCTGATAGGGGTATCAGGAAGTCCACATTTTTAGCTCTATTGGTCAGAGACCAGAAGAGATCATGCTTTTGTAAGGTGTCTGTCATTCGTCGTCTGTCTGTAAATTTTTTTTTCAAAATTCTACTCCTCCTACAGTTTTGGTCTGATTTGTGGCACACAAATAGAGTACACTAAGACATCGGTTTTTGATTTATATAAACTCTGTCGCCATGGTTAGCAAAATTAAAATTTCTGTGAAATACTTTCAAAATGCTACACCTCCTACAGTTTGGTCTGATATCAATTTTGATATAACATGGCATGCAAGTAGACTAGATACATAATTGTCTTTATCGTTTTTTTCTTATTTTGATGAATGATGTTGCCATGGTAACTAAAATCGAAATTTCTGTAAAATTCTTTTAAAAGGCTACTCTTTCTACAGTTGTTGTCTGATTGCAATCTTACCATGAAAAGAGACTAAATCAAGGATCACTATTCCATTTATTGCTGATGCAAAGTTTCAAGTCCAAGTTACTTTTCTCTTCCTTTGTTATAAGTAAAAACCAGACAGTAGGGCTACAGTCTCGACGTAGACTACTGGTTCATTAAGTTCTTGAATGTTCTGCCCTATTGATTTTCTTCATACTAGTTTTATTCACATCTATGATAATTTCCCCACTTTGTTGCAGGTCTGTTGCACATGGGTGGCTGAAGCTGGTTCAATATTTCCATCAAGAAGCATACCATGCATACCCTCTGTAGTAATGCTGGTACCCAAGTGACCGATAGCCATGGCCACATTTAGCTGTGCAGCTCTTCATCCCCTTCCAGATCTCCTCACCTCTTCGTAAAGCTTTTCTCATTGACTGGTGTAGTGGCACTTCTTACATCGGATAAAAGGATCCATGCCAGGCCTCGTTTTTCCTCCTAATGTTGGTTCCAGTCCAGTGAACTGTCACAGTCTGGAAACTTCTTTAATTGTTCTTTAAATGCCTGATTCCACAATTTAGCAGTCTTCTCTTGGTGAAGGACTTTGTATAGTTTTGAGTTTGGGTCATCTGACACAGCTTCCATGTAGGAGTCTACAGGCTGGATTTCACTTAGCCCGGGTCACAAAATCTTCATCTCACTGCTTCGGCTCTCGGCAGAGTCTGACATTTATATATATTTATACAGACATATAGAGACATTTTCATTTTCTCATTTTGGGCATCTTATTTAAGGCCTACAGTATTAATTTTGGACTCATGTACTAGGAATATATCTTTAGCAGAATTGTCTTTTTTAGGTCACCTGAGTCGCTCAGGTGACCTATTGCAATCTGTTTTTGTTCGTCGTTGTGCGTTAACATTTGATCATTTTTAGCTTCTTCTCTGAAACCACTTAACCAATTTCAACCAAATTTGGCATATAGCATATATGGGTGAAGGGGAAAAAAATATGAATTTAATGGTCCCTGCCCCCCTGGGGCCTGAGGGGTGGGGCTAAAACCACCAAAATTAATGCAATCTTTAAAAATCTTCTTCTTTACTCCTGGACATCAAGCAGTCAAACTGTTGGCATGATTGTAATAAGCATTGAGCCTCTACCAAAATTGTGAAATTCATGGCCCCAGGGTCAGGGGTTCTGGTGATAGGGTGGGTATATATAGATCAAATAGTGAAAGTGCCTTATTTCTTTGAGAATCTTCTTCTCTGCTCCTGGGTATTAAATAAACTAAGTAAGTACATAGTTATGAAGAGCAAGAGTGCCTCTTCCAAAATTGTGAATTTCATGGTCCCAGGGTCATGGGTGCTGGTGTTAGGGCGGGCCTCTATTGATTATATAGTAAAAATGCATTATTTCTTTGAAAATCTTCTTCTCTACTCCCTGGATACTAAATAAACTATAAGTACATAGTTATGATGAGCAAGAGTGCCTCTTCCAGAATTGTGAATTTCATGGCCCCAGGGTCAGGGGTTCTGGTGTTAGGGCAGGGCTCTATTCATTGTATAGTAAAATTGCATTAATTCTTGAAAATCTGAAAAGTACTTTCACAGTTTTAATGATCAGGTAGACTTGGAAATAATAAATGAATAAAAATGAGACAAAAATAACATCTCTTTTTATATCTTCTTCAAAGGCTAAGAGAGGCCAGTGTGAGAGTTAATAATATGGGGTTAAAAAAATAGACATTTGTTAATAGTCTGCATGGTAATAGTGATAAATGGGGGACAGATAGATACTAGACCAATTATTTTGTTGATGCTAATCATACTATTTTTCTTGCTTTTGGGCAACAAGGCTTCATTTATCAGTTTATGGATCCTCTAAATTGTTGTATTGTACTCAGATGACCGTTAAGACCGTTGGGCCTCTTGTTTAGGTGTACATGATGCAACTTTCTGGATGATGTGTAGTCTGTCAACATCTGAAACCCACATGTACATGTATAGATAAGCCTGTTTTGTATAAGAATCATGTCTATTGTATTGCTCAGCTTTTTGCAGGTTTTATATGAATAAGTTAAAATTTTATTCTATATGTATAGATTTAAACTAAAGGTGCATAGACACAGATTTGAAGTTTATATTTTCTCAAATTTTCTGTATAATATCACAACTTATATGTTGCTATAGCATTTCACATGAAAATAAAATTAAAAACTTATTTAATCTGGAAATTATTGAAACTACGAATTTCGGGTGGCATTTGATTAACACATCCTTGCACTTTCACGATTTTTAACTTTATCCTTAATACTTAGGAAAAGTAGCAATTTTGTTGTGTATTAATGAATAATATTACATCTATAATCCAGAAAATTCAGAGTAAAAATGTGCGAAAGTAAAACCCACTCACTTAAGTATTGTCAGCCCCTGCTCAATGTTGTGTAGTTGTGTACAGAGTTTAACAAATTGAATACACCCGTGAAAAGTAAACTGTTTTTGTAAACAGGGCACGAGCTCTGTTGTTATTAATGTTTACGTTTCACCGGGTGTGTTCAATTGTTAAACTCTGCACACACCACTGAGCACGGACTGACAATACTGGTAAAAGGATTTTGCTTTCTACATTTCTACTCTGAAATTTCTGCATTATAGTTTTAATATTTTTCATTAATAAACAACAAAATTGCTACTTTTCTAAAGTAATAAGGATAAAGTTAAAATTTGTGAAATGGCAAGGAAGTGTTTATCAAATGCGTCCAGAAATTCAAAGTTTCAATAACTTCCAGATAAAATAAGATTTTTATCAAATTTTCGTATGAAATGCTATAAAGCAACATATAAGTCATGAAATTATACAGAAAATTTAAATATTAGTAAATATTAACTTCAAATCTGTGTCCAAGCACCTTTAAGTCATAATTCTCAAATTTCTTTCTGTAAAACGATATAATGTTAGTGTTGCCATGACAACAGATGCCTTGCTATTTAGATTTGCTTTAAACTTTTCTGTAAACTAAATACATACGTATCTTTAATAATTAGCTGTCAGATCTTAATTGGTTGAAAGTAATATCAGTATACTTTTTTGTTATTATTTAAAAGATTATTTAGAAAAATGTTGAAATTGAAGCTATTTTTTGTAACTTACTGTGGTTTCCATGTTAACACATAATTAGGGTTAAAAATATTAGTTTTGTTGGTCAATCATCATTTTCATATTTGTGAAAGTTGTGTACTATGAATATATGTTTACAACCAGAAAAAGAAAATAATAGAAATCTTCATGGAAAAGTTTTAGTTTTCAAAACTTGTGTTGTCAAATCATCTTTTACAGATTTGATTCTTTTGTTTTATTGAATTTCTTACTGATAAATAATCTTTTTCAGTTAATTTTTTTAGTCGTCCAAAATTGGTCCAAGATACCAATTTCTTTATTGAATATGCTTAACTTTCAACTTCAGAAAACAAGTTATCATTCACTAAATTATTGTCTTATTATCAGATGTATGTGTAGTAGATGTATTACACTCAGAGTGAACATTATTCAGTTTGAATTTCATGTAGAAAGTTGTAGAAAGGTGTCCTATAGTTTCATCAATTTATATAATTCTAACGAATTCTTGGACAAAGACAGGCATATAGTTACAGATCTAGAGAAATTGTAAATAGCATATATCTTTAGGAATTTATTTCTTTTATAATACTTATTATTATATTTGAAGACCTACCATTGTAAGATGGACTTGGTTCCATAAACCGGTGAATTATTTCATTATTTTGTTATATAAGAAAGATAACTCTTCACAATTGTGAAAAGTATTGCTACTGATTAAGGTTATAAAAGTTATTTCCCTTTACGTATGTAAAACAGTAGTAAATTCCATATAGTGAACTATTCAATTATGACACAATTTGTATAATGATCCTTATGTATATCTATTATAATATTATATTTTTATTGTACCATTCTAATATAATTATGTGTTTTATATTAATTTCAGAGGCAGCAGTTGTCAAATCATAAA